TTGCTTTGCAAAGGTACAAGTCTGTGAGGCCTGTGTCATGCCTGGGTGCAGGTTTCTCTTCCAGGATGAAATTAATCACAACCCCTGACTTCAAAGGCTGCATCAGACAGATCTCTCTTGGTTGTAATGGGAGTAGACAAAGGCAGCACACATGTAGGTATTTCTCAGTATAAATCTAAATTTGGGTGTCTTCACATGCAGCCAGATCCCATCCTATCTGTGTCCATTCCAGGCACTCCCTGATAACTCTTTTGAGCTCCCAGTCTCAGCCTCACTAGACTGGGGATATGATGCAGCCTTTATTATTTGGATATTCATTTTGCATCTGCTGGCAAAGAGCAACTGAGCTCTACACTCTCTTGTTTTTAAGCAGAATGCTCTGTGAAATAATCAGAGCTTCCATTTTTGTTTTTAGAAAACAAAGCATTCATGAATTGGGCATGAAAAAGCTTTGGATCGCTGAAATTTCTATACACCAGAAAGCCAAATACTACATTTCTAGCAAGAAAATGAGCTTCATGTAAGGTATAATGTAGCAATTACAGTGGCAGGAATTAGAAAAATAAGTGGCAAAGCTGCCTTAGAGCCAATGAGAGGTCTTATAGCTACGGAAACTTTTGAGTTTGGCTCTTTTATTAGTGTGGCTTCTCAAGATACTTCTCAATCACCTTACATAAATAGGTTATAAAGATCATGAAATTGGGGGTTATCAGGAAAAATGAAAAGACTAATGTGTTAGAGTACTGAGAAGTTCCTCAACATAATTGAAGGCTTATAGGAACAGATTCATCTCTGGAGCACCTCCAGTTGTTTTCTTCGACTTAGCTCAAAATGCCCTTAAAAAATACAGGTTTTCTGCTTTTAGCGAACATCTTAAATGGGATTTGCTTGATTTTTAGGCTTGTGCATGTTAATTTTTGAAACTGTTTTGGCAGAGTATATGTCTCACAAACGATGTTCGAAGCCTGTTTGTGAAATAAACCGTCCTAATAAACAGAACTTACTAGTTAACTTAATAAACAGAAGCTTTTGTTTTTCAGCCCAACCTGCCCACAGGGTACTGTAGCTGTAATACAGGCACTTGTTCACACTACAAAGCAAGCTGAGTGTTTATGACTGTTTCTGAAGGTGACTGTCTTGTGACCATACTGAGAAATGGAAGTTTTCAGTGCTGGGCGTGTACTTCTGTCTTCCCTCTGCCTGCCTGGCGCAGGTAAGTGACATGAATGACACCAAGATGCTCCTGGGGCTGGCAGACATGCTTCTGAACCCAGCAGGCTGTGCCTGGTAGGGTCAGTTGCTGGCTGCCTCTTCCAATCAAACTCTTCAGCAATGTTACAAAAAGTCAGTTGCAAGTGGGAAAAGAAAGCCAAACTCTGTAGAGGCGAAAGCGTCGTTTCCCTAGCTTATAGCATGTGAGAAAGCAGTATGTATAGCCCTGCATCCAGCTTCCCTGAGGCCCCAGCTCCATGACAAAGTCCTTTGCAGCTGGATGAATGAGGAGGTTCACTTCCATACCTCTACTTTCCTTGCAACATATCATCTCCCCTCTTCAGTCACACTCCTATGCAGAGGAAGACAATACCTGACAACTGTGAATTAATCCCAGACTTGAGCTGTGTCAATACTGAAGGTGAGCAGAGCGTCCCTGACAAGTGCCATGAGGGTGGCAGTGCAGCATGTCTCTGCTCTGTGACAGCCTAATACAGGATCTGGGGCTGGGCAGCCCTTCCCTGCCTCCTGTGCCAGGGGTCTGTGTCAGGGTGTGAAATTATGTCTGCCTCCAGCTGCTTGCCTGCCAAGGAGGCAAGACTTGGTATTAGAAAAGTATGCCTTTTAGCTGAGATGACAGCAGCCCGTAGCTCTCATGCTGCTGATAGTAGTTCTTCCCCTAATGGTGCACATATATATGTAAAAGCATAATACATTTCACCTGGCACTTCTTCAGCTTGCTTAGGTTTTTCCCTGTCATTCCAATGTCCAGAAGTGTTGATCTCAGAGTACCATTAAGTGCAGAGTGCACTTGCAGAGATACAGAATTACTGAGAAATACAGTGAGGATGTAGGGAGAAAAGTCTGGAGGGCAAATCAACCCTCATCCTGGGTATGATCTAGCTCTGCTGGTGCTTCACATCCTGCTGTTCATGATTGCTGTGGCTTTTGGTTAACTGATCAGGGAATGTACATTCTAACCTATGTGCTGTTGCTGAAGTCAAACTGACCCATTGGATTGAAGGTAGTGGTTCACAGTAAAATATTAGTCCAATAGGATAAAAGGGGAATGTGTGGAAGTGGAAGGAAATAGATGGAATCAAGAAAAGGTCTCTCATCTAAAATAATCAGCATTCACACGTCGTTGGTTGTTGTAACTCTGAAAGGCAGATTATAAGTCAAGGTTTCAAGCAACCTTCAAAAATAGCTTCAAATTTTGTGCATCAGAGACTGATTCAGAGGTAGTTGAAGACAGTAGTGTGTCTACACTATCTTGTGTGACTTTGGATCCAGTTCCCAAAATTTTATGGGTATACAATACACAAAAAATTAACGTGATGAGCAGATCACTGTGCTCCAGAACTTCTCAAAACAAATCTCCTCCAGAAGATACTCTTCAATATAGAAATGACTGTAAATCTTTAGAATGCAATTGGCCCAGAGGACCTCCACCTTTTGTATGCTGTTAGTCATCACCATTGACTTATGATGGCTGTGCTGCTCCATCAGAATCCAGCTGATCATCACTATTGACTGATTTTCCAGAGGGAGAGGAAAAGGAGCAAACAGGAATGTGGGAGGAGACAAGAGGATGTCAATAAACCAGGAGAGCCAGTGGGAGCTGCTCAGTGCTCTCTGTGCTCCATAGGATCATACTTAGGTTGGAAAAGACCTTTAAGATCATCGAGTCCAACCATTAACTCAGCACTGCCAAGCCATCTGCTAAACTATGTCTCCAAGTACCACATCTACACATCTCTTAAATACCTCCAGGGATGGTGGCTCCATCACTTCCCTGGGCAGCCTGTCCCAGTGCTTGGCAACCGTTTTGGTGAAGACATTTTTCTTAATATCCAATCTGAACCTCCCCTGATACAACTTAAGGCCATTTCCCCTTGTCCTAACCCTTGTCACTTGGGAGAAGAAACTGACCTCCACCTTACTACCACCTCCTTTCAGGTAGTTGTAGAGAGCAGTAAGGTCTTCCCTGAGCCTCCTTTTCTCCAGGTTAAACAATCCCAGTTCCTTCAGCCGTCCCTCATCAGACTTGTGTTCCAGACCCTTCACCAGCTTTGCTGCCCTTTTCTGGACATGCTCCAGAACCTCAATATCTTTCCTGTAGCAAGGGCCCAGAGCTGAGCACAGTGTTCGAGGTGCAGCCTCACCAGTGCTGAGCACAGGGGTACAATTCGTCCCCTACCCCTTCTGGCCACACGATTTCTGATACAGGCCAGGATGCCGTTGGCCTTCTTGGCTGCCTGGGAACAAGCTGGATCATGGTCAGTGGCCATCAACCAGCACTTCCAGGTCCTTTCCCACCCGACAGCTTCCCAGCCACTCTTCCCCAAGCCTGTGGCATTGTTGCATGGGGTTGCTGTAACCCAGGTGTAGGGCTGGGCACCCATGAGCTATCTCATGTGCTTTTACATGCCTGACTGCTGCTGAGTGCCGTGACTGCTCTTGGTGTTTGCCACATGGCACATTTAAGGATGACATAAGCTATCAGCTTTGACGAAAACTCCCTTATTCTATACTTGTGCCCACACAGAGGCTGGAGAGCAGCAAGGCCACCAGGTTGTGGTTGCTTTGGGGCTACAGTGGCACCAGCTTGCAGTTTGCTGGCCTAGCAGGAGAAAGGGCCTTTGGTCTCTTGCGTTGCATTTCTCCTGTTGTTTAAACTGGGCACTGGGCTGAATTTGCTGTCACCATAAGTCATTAAAGGCTGGTAAGGCCTTGGAGTGGTTGCTTTTGTGAACGCTGGTGGCCACTCTGCAAGTTGTTAGGAAGCCCAGCCGTGGGCTTCCAGGGTTAACGGGACCACTGTGTCATGGATGTTATCAGCCCTTCCTTTGGTTTTGTCAACACAACCTGTTCATTCTCTCAGCGCTGAGTACTGGCTGGCCTGTGCCTTGGCTTTCGTTGTGTGTGACCTAGTGTCCTGGGTTCAGCAGTAGCAGTCATGTTTCTCTTTTGTGGTAGCTAGTGCAGTGCTGTGTTTTGACTTCCAGCCTGGGAACAGTGCTGGTGATACCGATGCTAAGTGATGTTTACCCTGACCAAGGACTTTGTGAGGCTCATGCTCTGCCAGGGAGGAGGGGAACCTGTGAGGAAGCAGAGACGGGGCGCCTGACCTGGGCTAGCCAAAGAGGTATTCCATACCACAGCACGTCATGCCCGGGGTGGGGGGTAACTGGGAGTTACCTGGAAGGACACGGGCTTCTGGGTGGGACTCGTTTCTTGGCCGGTGGTATCGTATTCTCTTCCCTTGTTATTTTCCCTTATCATTGTTGTCGTTGGTGGTAGCGGTGGTGATTTGTGCTGTACATTGGTTGCTGGACTGTTCTTGTCTCAACCCGTGGGAGTTGCACTCTTTCGATCCTCCTCCCTGTTCCTCTGGGAGCGGGGAAGGGGAGAGCCCCGGGGGGGGGGCTCAATTGCTCTCAGCCCGGCACCACTCACTGGGAGTGAGTGAACAAGCTGTCTGGCTAGGGTTTAAACCACGACACCTAGGTTTGGTCTCAGCAGTGGGTGTGCACTGTTGGTAACGTTTTGCACTGGGATATCAGGACTGGTTACTCTGCTTTATGGAATGGGAGGTTTAGAAACTGTCCCTAGTGTGGCTGTTCTACCCCTGAGTTGGTCTGTTATTGTCATGGGTATAGGTGCCTCCCCGCAGTACAAATTGTAGTTTGGAGGCAGAAACCAGGTCAGCAGAGCTAAGCAAAAGCATCCCTGTAACACAAGCCAATTAATCCTTGATGTATTAACTGGGGTACTGCTGGTGAAGGTGCTGTGGCCTGAACTTTTGCATAGGCTGACATGAGTACAACCAATGAAGGACAATGCTCAGCCCTTGCTGTTGCCTGCCTTGAGGTAAGGTGTCATACAGCCTGGGTTAAAGTAGCAGGGAAATGGTAGCACATGTTCAGTGTGGGCAGGTCTGCTCTCCTGGCGGTGTCTGCTGCATGTCTGAGTGGAGCCACTGGTGTGGAGCAGGTTTCGTGTGCTGGGCCACGCTGCAGGGAGAGGGACAGTGGCTGCCCTGGGGGCTGTGCCTTGCTGAGAGGTGCCTGGGGCATGAAGCTGATGCAGACAGCTTGTTCACTGCCGCCGGTCTGGATGCCTGTCCTGCTCTGCCACCTGCCTGCAGCGGGGTTGGAGGACACAACTTAGTGCACAGCCCAGGGAGACAGTGGTCTTGTCCTTCATACCCCCACTCTTATTTTGTTCAGAGGTGTCCTGAGTCCTCTGGGAGAAGGTGGAAGCAGCAGACTCGGCTCTGAGGAAGGCAGGGAAAGACAAGCTGCAGCCTCTGCACTTTCCCAGTGCACAGGGAAAGACAAGCTGCAGCCTCTGCCAGCTATGCAGTCGCAGGTCTCAATCCCCTTCCTGCCCATGGGCTCTGCATCTATGGTAGTGGTAGAAGGGGTACAGCCTCCTACCAATCTTAATTGAAACCACAGATAACCTGCTCCTTCATAAGGAGCAAAACTGCTGTAGTGAAAAATTAAAGGATTATGACCTGTAACTTGTGTGTATATGCAAGCATCAGACCAAGACAACCATGCCTCATTTTGCAATCCTAGATTAACTTCTGTAACTAATTGGATTATTTTTTTCTGCCTGCTTCAGAATGACTGTCCAGTCATAATACAAAAAATACTCTCCTGAAATTGCAAAAATAAGTGTATTTTCTTATTACAAAATTTAAAAAATTACAGACTATGTATGAGTAAAAGTAAAATTCTAGCTGATAAATCTGATTTCAGGGGTCAAATTCTGCAATATAAAGCCCCTAAGGCTGGAGATGTTAGCCTGATTTTCTATTTATTGCAGAAATAAGCTTGCCGAGGCTTATCCCAGCACCCTAGCAGCTTGGCAGGCTGTTCCTCCCGTAGAGGACTGAGATATTATTTCTAGTGGAATCACAGAAGTGGAAGTCATTTGTGTGGAACTTTCCATTCCCCTGAAAAGGTCACTGTAGAAACCTTTGGAGAGAAACAAGATTTTATTGTAAAATCCACCGGAAGGTCACTCTACTTTTTTGCAGGTATTTGAGGCAAGCACGTGTGATTCTGTGTTTTGCTTCTTAGTGCTCCTTTAAATTGCTAGCCAGAAGCTGAGTCATTTCAAATGATGTACAAAGCAACAATTTATACAAAGGAATAGGAATTCTGTCCTCTCTCTTCCCAGAAGTTACATTTTGTGCCTTAACCGACAAAACACACATCTTATAAAGTGTAGTTGCAAGAAGACAGTGCTTAATGCCTCAGCTCACAGAAATGTCTCCCATTTGCAGTCATGTGATGTACGAAATGAGCATGGGGGGCATACATAGTGCTTTAGAAGATTTGAGTACCCCAATGACATGGGATTTTGCACCAGATAGAAATGAGTGTCAGAATTTGTCATGCAGCAAATTAATCCACGAAAACTTCAGTGAGCTGATCTATATGCTAATGTAGTTTAAGAATGCAGTGCAAGCAATTGGAAGAGAAGAGGATGAAGTATGGGCAGAGTGGGAGGAATGGAGTGGTGTAAGGGGGCGTTTCCAACATCACCTACTGCATCTGGGAACTGTAGTTTCTACTGTTAGAAGCCCCATGGGAAAGGAGTAGTGATAATGTTACTAAAGAGAGGTCTTAAAAAATTGTGACACATGGGAAGACACTGTGGTGTATCACACAGCATCTTTCTTTTGGAAGAATCTTGATGCACATTAGAAATCTGATTTGGGGTAAAACTGCAATAAAACAGTATCAGAGGCTGTGCAGAGCAGTGCCATGGAACAGAGCCTGCAAACCGATTTCCTAAAATCAAGAGCAGGATGAGGCTTAGGTGTATCAACATGGCATGAAGTAGCCTTGCTTCTTGTTACAGGTTACTAGATGCCATAGTGGTGCTGAGGAAGGCTGCAAAGGAAAGGAAGAAGAGAGAGAAAAGAAACAGAAGGGTAAAATAATTAATAGCCACAGACCAGGAAATAGTGAGATGAGGAGGAAATAAAAGTGATTCAAAGAAAGGCTGGACAGAGCCTTGGGCGACATGGTCTAGTGTGAGGTGTCCCTGCCCATGGCAGGGGGGGTTGGAACCAGATGATCTTAAGGTCCTTTCCAACCCAAACCACTCTATGATTCTATAATTTGATGATTAAGAAGGAAAAATGTTGAAACAAATCATTCTCCCTTAGGTCTTTGAGCAGAGGTTCATAAGATTTGCTAACATACGTTTTTTTTTTGTCCATAGCTTGGTCATCGTTACATCTTCTATCTACACTAGCAACACTAAAAGTTTACCTTTAAGAGCTGATGCAGTGCTCATGGAAATGGGAAGAATTCTTCCTGGACACACTCACTGATCAGTCATTGGCAGTGGAGTTATTGTGTACTTGGGGGAGGTGAGACATTAAACCATGAGAAATTTTCTAAATTGTTCTCCAGAGCTGATAGTCATGGCAGGAGATCATTTCCAACTTACATTAATGTGATTATAGTAAATGGCTAGTTTAGGCTGAGTGGGAAGGAGTAATTTAATCATATAAAATCATCTACATGCAATCACCTACATGGAATTGAGGAAAAAAGTAAAAGTCCCCTGGCAGTGGCAGGGAGGAGGGGAGCAATGTTGGCAATATTATGTACATATTATGAAGTAGAGAATGTTAAAGAGTAGTTTTAGAGCTGATGAACATTTATCCAAAGTCAGATAATTTAAAAAGAATTCATTCTTTTGGCTTCAAAACAGCAATGAGGGAGTATATACAAATATACAAAGGCAGTATGTGTTGTATGGGACTCTTATGAAATACAACTTGTAAGGTATTGACTAGACCAATAAAAGATATCACAATATTTACTGTGTGTCCTTAAACAATTTAAGACAATTCTTCATACAAATCATTTGGATGTGTCAAAGAAGAACATAAACCAGCCTGTCTGTTACTGATACTTGCAACGGTTAAAAAATACGCAGGCACAAGGACAACCTCTGCACTTGTGCTGGAAGCCTGTATTTCCCTTCAACACTGCAATGCTCTTTACCTTTTGATAAATGGGGTTGAAAACAGTAGTGGAAATAGAGTCCTTAGGAAAGATTCCCTTATTCTTTTAACACCTTCTCCAAAATAAAGACACTTTTCGTTTTGGGGTGTGTGTGTTTTTGTTGCACTGTTTTGTTTGATTGTTTTGGGGGGGTGGGGGTGTTATGTGTGTGTAGGGTGTTTTGTGTCCCCCCCGTTGCCTCCTGGTACATGCAAAAGACAGAGTCTGCTGGCCCCACAGAGAAATAAGAAGCGACAGCTATGGAAAACTGAACAGCTCAGGTACATGGCAGTGAAATCTGAATAGTGACAGCCTTTTATGTAAACTTGGTGAAACAGGGACTTTGTTAGAAACCCTTTTGGAAAGTTCAATCTCCTCATATACCTCCATTCAGGAAGATGAATAAAATTAATCTAATGTGCTGTAAACAGCTCAGTATATTATTGTGGTGGGGAACCCCCAGCTTTAAATCAAAGTGGCTCAGGACATATGCGGTTCTTGACATGTTGTTGCTGTGTCTAGGATGTGCTATGTGAGAGATAGCTCACCTCAGAGAGGATGTTGTCTATGTGGGAAATACACAGAAAAAGGACAGACAATACATGCACAATAATTCCTCCACTGCCCATGTTGACTTTCAGGAGTAATGTCAGAAGTGGGTTTGAGAAGGCCATACCCCCCTCAGCTGTAAGGAGCAGGAGAGATGTTTCACTGCATGGAGGTGGTGAAGACAAAGCTTGCAGAGAAGAGACCTGAGGTTGTCACAGGAGAAGAGGTTGGCACAGAAGAGCAGGAGTTGAGAGTCTTTTGGGGAGGCCAACTGACTGATGGGTGCAGTCTTTAGGGTTAGGGATATATAAAGTCAGTCCAAAGCACTGGCTGCTTACAGAGTGAGAAACTTCTGGATATGGCCTGGACACGTGTGACAGAGTAACACCTGACAGACCTGAACACCCACAGTCATGGGAATCCTGATAAGAGCACTGAGACAGGGGGAGAGAGTGGAGGTCACTGCAGTAGGACCGCAGCAAATTTAGGGATTAGAGAGAGTCAGAAACCCAAAGGCAGGATGGTGAGTTTGGGATGTAAGAATAGAAGGAAATAGCACTCAGAGAAAATACATACAAGTGACGAGGGGCTGAATAGGCAGGTCTGTATGAATCCTGCTGTAGAAAGCAGAGGACTGTGGAGGAAAAACCTTTGGAGAAATATAGGAAGAAAGGTAGGAAGACAACTGTACAAGGGGAGCATTGGGGAAAATAAGACTTTGAGGATGAAAGATGTTTTAGAGAGGCCAAGGAAGATGGATGTGGGCTGAAGGTCTTGCATACATCATTAAGAGCCTGCTGGAAAGAGCATTGCAGAGTGTTGTGTGGCTGGGCCTGATCCAGGATAGGTATGAATGGCAAGTAACCATTGATAAGAAGTTAAAGTTCAGGAAATGCCTCCAAACCCTTTGTAAATTCAGCAAATACACAGAAAAAACCCGAAGTGACCAAGCAGTGGTGCCAGACTAGCAAAAGTTTTTATTTCCGTGAGATGACAGGTAATTTCTGATCAAGTTAAATTCTTTTAAGTAACAAATCCTTTAAATTGTTCCTGACTTGGAGCATGAAGAAAATGTAAAGGACATTTTTATCAGTCTAGTGGCATTTGTTGGAAAACATAGCTCTGTGTTTAGCTAATGACTTAATTAGAAAAGCAGTAGTCAGCTGGCAGTGAATGGTGAATCTTTATTTAACAGGGAAGCATGAAAATTAGCCATCCATCTGTTTTTTCCTGTTAATTACCTCTAAATATTAAAACTGAATACAGTCTTCAACCTGATTGGTAGTCTGAACGGTAATAGTGGAGATCAGATACTAAAAAAAGACATTAGTAGAAATTATGATGCAGCTCCTGTATTTTACAGCTTTCATACCTGACTGAAACATTTCTACCTACCTACAACATCTGCTGTGGAGGTCATGTTTACCATTTCTGGTCCTTCAGACATGCTTCTGGATTTAAATGAGCATCAGTATAGATGACAGAATTAACTGAACTGTTACTTTTCAATGAGAAACGTGACTGCACACTGCATAACAGCAGTGCGCATTTACTTTTTCCTTTCTGATCATTACTGTAGCTGGGCAGCCTTGTAGCAGGGACTTTGCCAAAGGGACAGCAAAACCTACTCTCTTCCAGCAACAACTGCCTGTGTGTCCTGTCTTCCCTTATGTAGTCACCTTGTTTGGGGAAATTGTGCACAATCTTTGTTCTTTACTTATCATTTCCATTGAGCTTGCTGAAAGGAAAAATAGAATTATTCTGCAGCAGTTCTCACAAATACTACTCTTTATTTTAATTCCCAGCTATTTTTTTCTCAATAGCATATGTACTCCGGGGAACTGCTTCGGAAGTTTTACAGATAAGCAGGGTCAGGCCACTCTTTCCCAGCTTCTATCAGCAGTTTGCAACTCCAACAAGTTGCAAAAAGGAAAAATCATAATGGATCTTTGTGCTTCCTCACTAGAAGACATTTTCAGTGACTGAGATTTTGCCCCCCTCTTTTTAGATGTTAATATAAGCTAGTATGGAAGCCAAAGGCAGCTGGAGGAGGCAGCTGAGACAATAGCTTCAGAAGGGCAGCTGGAGATCAACTTTCTAAACTCAGGCATGGAAAACTTGGAGTCCTTAAAGCAGAATCCCACTGCATGTGGGTAAGTAGTAGGTCCCATTTTTGTCACCTTCGGACTTGATTTACACTCAGCTTGCAGCTCTGCATCTTTCCAACTGAATGCTTTCTCTCACCAATAAGGATGTCATTTCTCAGCTCCATATGCAGTTTATTACTCACATGTTACTTACACTTCCTTGACTCTTGCTAAGAAAAATGACTGTCATCTTGTAAATTTTCAAAACATTTTCCAGAGATGGCTTCCAATGCTGTTACAACACTTTTTCTACCTCTAATATTTGTTTTGATGGATTTGGAGCTGCCATGCTATAGTTCACTGTTACTGGATGTCAGGTTGATGTATGTGGTATTTTCTATTTCTATATCAGTATATTCAAAAAGAGCTTGTCCAGAAAAATGGAGAAGGAAGAAAATTACAGTGAAGGTAAGTAATTGGTATTTAAATGGAGTTTAGAAGTTGCTAATGGACAATAACAGATTCTCAACTTTGATATTGCCTTTTCCCAGCCTGATTTTCACAATATCTGAACCAGGACATTTCAACTTCCATAAGCACAGAAGACAGGATACAAGGAACTCTCTGTCATGTCTGTCTCTCAAGACAAGGGGAGTAACTCTGTGAAGGACAACCAGAACAAGAGATCCTGCTACAGGACCTCATCAGGGGTCAATCTGACAAGAATATCATTGCAAATAATAAGAGGCAGATGTGCAGACTGCTATGTAAAAAATTACTTACTCTATTTTTTTTTCTACAGTTCAAACAGAAAGTAATTTGGGTTTAGATGCTATTTCTGAATTTCTATATATTGGTGGCCTGCTGAGAAGATATCCAGTGGTTTAAGTCAGTGGGGTAAGATGAATCAATCCATTGGGTTCTGCATTGCAAGGTCCAGGAGAATTGTGGCACAAGCGAATAATACCATCCAAGAACTAATGAAGGCACAAGGCCTGAGCCCTGAAGAAGTACTGTTAGTGGTATCAAATGTGACCAGTCAGATGTGCAGCTGGTCTCCTGTGTGACACTTGCTAGCTGCATCCTCTCAGTTGCCAAATAAACTGCACAGGGGTCTGCCCAATACTTTGACCATAAATCCAGAACCTTACACAAAAAGAGCCACTTGAGTAATTCCTCTGGAGTACAAAATGGGATCCATTTTTAGCTGGAACGAATTGAACTTTGCTTTGTGTTTTGGGAGTTTATTCCTGAAGAATTCCTGGAAATGGTTGTTATTTTCCTTCTAAATGGCTGTTACAGTTTTCTCAGAATGCCATGGTTGAGATCTGTTGTTTAGCTGTCATGCCCATGAAGTGTTTATTAATTTTTGAATATGCATGTATGGGGTTCAGTTTATATGCCTTTATATTTTTACAGTGCATGGTAATTTAGACATTTAATTCTTAAATGGAAAAAGTATAAAAGTGAATATTGTTGTTTGCTTCTCAAATCACCGAGTACACAAAATGTCTTAAACACGAGTATCTAATAGTTTCCTTTTTTTGTTGTTTCATTGCTAAAAAATCTTTTCCTTTGTAGAATAAATTTATTTCAAACTTTTTACCACGAATAACACTGGAGGTAAAAAACGGCAGAATGAATTACAGGCTAAAGACAAGTCAAGCAAATAGGCAAAACCAAAAATCCCCTTTAACGAGGGAAATGATGACAGAATTAAATCATTTTGCTCATTCTTAAGGCCAGGAGTCCTGTCAGCATCATCATCTCCCAGTACTTTTAAGTATGTTCTCGACACCTGATGAGCTTTCTAAAGGCCAGCTTGAAGTCTTCGTTAAAGCTAGTGTACAGCAAAGGGTTGATAAGGGAGTTGACATATCCAAGCCAGGTCAAGAAGTCTGCTACTTCTGGAGAGACAGTGCAAATGTGGAGTCCCACAAGCAGCTCCTTGATGAAAAAGGGCAACCAGGACAAAATGAAAGCACCTAAAATCAGCCCCAGAATGCGAGCAGCCTTTCGTTCCCGTGTCGTGGAGATCTGCTGCCGGTCACCAGCCAGGTCCAAGTCATTCTCAAAAGGAGGGATCCTCACAGATGCATTGATTTTATCAAATTCCGTGGTTGGGTCAGATGTGGAGAAGTCCGAGACGCAGAATGTCTGTGTGAGCTTGCAGCTGGCAAAGGAGTTTTGGCTGTCGGTGCTCCTGTTGCTGAGGTGGCGGCTTGAACCCCGCTTTTGGTAAAGGCTCTTTGCAGCGTGATAAATTCTGTAGTACAGGATCAGAATCAAAGTCAAGGGGATGTAAAATGCCCCAAATGTGGAATAAATAGTGTAGATGACATGATCATGCTTAATGCGACACTCGCTGGGGATACTGACACTGTGGTGATTTCTCCAGAACAAAGGGGGCATTGATATGAAAATGGAGATAGCCCACACGGTGACTATCATCAGCCCAGCCCTTTTTGCTGTTCTTTTCCTGGCATATTCAATAGCATCTGTGATTGCCCAATACCTGTCCAGAGCAATGACGCACAGATGAAGGATTGAACACGTGCAACAGGTCATGTCGACACTAAGCCAGATCTCACAGATGAAATATCCCAAAGTCCATTTATCTATCATTATGTAAGTGATGCTCAAGGGCATGACAAGAACAGCAACGAGGAGATCAGTCACAGCTAGTGAACATATTAAATAATTTGCCGGCTGGTGAAGCTTCTTGGTTGTGGAGATTGCCGCAATTACAGCAGAATTCAGCAGCATAGTCAAGGTTGTGATTGTGGCCAAGGTCAGGGTAACAAGCATCTTTTCAGTTACTGTTTTTGGCTTCGCAGCCACATTGGCTTCAGTGGTGCAATTTGTGAAATTCATTTTCCCCTCCAGGATGCACAGTGAAAGAAGTTGCTGCTTCAGGTAAGGAAGAGTTTCAGGTTCAGAAGTGACCCATTTGGAAGAGGGACAGAGATGCTTCAGATGCAGTTTTTTTTAATCATTATTTTATAATCCCATATTCAACAGAGCAGCAAAAAGCTTCCAAGTTTTCTCCTGTTCATCGTTTTCCTAAGAAGACAAAACCACATCTGTTAATGAACCTAGAAAAACCCCGCCTTTTGTCAAAAAGTCATAAGCTTTTAATATTACCACTTCAAATAAAAATTTTGGCCTGTTTTCTTCTCTGCTGCCTTTTCTCCTCTTTTTTTTATCTGCAATTCATAGTTCATTTCTTTTTCTTCTCCAAAGGGCACTTCAGGCCAGATTTCCTACTGGTGTGGTTATTTCTCCTTTGGTTTTGGAGATCTCCCTTGAAGTGGGAGGTTGGACTAAGTGACCTTCAGAGATCACTTCTAACAATCATTTCTATGATATCTGTGAATTACTGATGCTAGGAGCTACTCCTTTTCCGTCTTGTTGAATAGGCTCCAGCAGATGAAGAGCTGAGGAAATCTGCCTTTTCATTTTAATTGCTATACGAGAGGGCTCAATTACTTCTATATATCATCTCTGGAAAAAAAGAAACAGCAGTAATCTCAGTGAAGGCATGCCAGCATTTCATAGTTTTCTGTTCTGCTTTTTCATATCCCTGTCTAGATTAACATGTTGGAAACAATACTTAAAAATTACTCAGGTTACCTTTAACATGCAGCTTTCAAACAATGTTTAAAGCTTTAATGGCAAACGTTTAGTTTTACACAGCACATCAGTGTTGCTAGGAGCTTATATAGCTTTGTCTAATTATTCCTGACATTTCACATTTCCCACTGCGTGTGTCTGTAGAGGAGGCAGACAAAAAGCTTTTGCCTTTGCTTTGAGATTTCTATCAAACTGTGCTCCCTGTCAGGCAGTCCAGTATAATGCAAGGTACAAAAAGGTTTAATTTTGTGTCAGGAATTCATCTGTATTTTCCATACATCCCAAATGCTGACTTAAGCCAGAGATAGCGGTCTGTAAGATGCCACTTGGGATACCGTCTGGGACCTCATTTACTCATTTGTAATTTATTTTGGCACAAAGGATGTAGAAAGCAGAAAGCCTGAATCCTTTTCCATTAAAATAAACAGAACAATTCCTTCCCCTGGCTTTACTTTTTTGAAGAGTAAGGAGTTGTACAGGCTTCTTGTACTCTTTTAAGGAGTTGTACTCTTGTACGGAGTTGTAACTCTAGTTGTACAGGCTCCCTCAACAGGCAGGGGCATGAGATAGCAGCTGCCAGAAACACACTTGTCCCCTCTCAAGACAAGTCTTTCAGGCAGATGGTGAAAATCACATCCTGGAAATGCTGATCTTTCTCTATTTTGACTACAAGTGGCTCCTCTACAGTAGAATTTAGAATACATGCCTGATTTTTAGATGGCTAAATTTGAGAGGTAAAACCCATTCTCACTGACACCAGTGGGATTGGATTAGGCTGTGGTGAGAGTTTGCACATGCAAGCTAATGAAGAATTTAAAATTTGAATGAGGAGTTACGATCTTAAAGCTAGTCAGCTGCTTAGCTCTCGGTACATATGTTCTTATTGAGCAATTGGAGTGCTGTCTCCTGAATGAGATGAACAGGGAACAACCAAAATAGAAACTTTAGAAAAAACCTGCGTTTTGTGAATAGACCCAAGGAAAGCAAATCTGCATCGTCGTAGACTCTGGGTTAGCAAAATGAGTTTTAAATTCTACCTGAGGCACAGCAGAAGTCTCCCCTAAAGCTGATTCCAATCTTCAGATACTGCTTTAAAGTATGAATAGCCTTGGAGAAAATATCAGGCCTGTTTATTAAGAATAGGCTGGACAAGCCAGATGGAAATTCATCCATCAGTCTTCAGGTTGTTACTGCGTTGGAAATGCCAATTTGGTTGCTTAAGCCTAAAGCAAAAACTTCAGTTCAAATCTTCTTCACAAATTGTTTATGGGAGTCCTCTCTGCCAGGCCACATCTTGGCTTTATTAGTTTGCACACTTATTATGTCTGATTCTTTGACCAGAGGATAAAGCAAAGAGGCTTTCTCTACAATCTGGGACACAGTCCAGAAGCAATTGCAATCTATATGCTTTCCTTAGCAAGTGCCACCTGGTCCACAAGCACACTCAAAGGTATCAGAAGACACCATGGGATTCACATGTCCTCCACAACCACTGATTGATCTGGTCCATACACAGGAGAGCTCTTGATGATTCTTGATGTAAGCAGCATTTTTTTCTGCCTGTCCTTCACTTCTCTGGGAGTCCTGAAGTTTCACAGCCCAGGTATTTTTCCCCACCATATCCTCTGCTGAGCACTGCATCTTTAATCCATAGAAACTGAATCATTGTGGCTCTCTCCCCAAGTAGCCTTTCACACCAATGCCACCTCAGGGAAATCCTTTCTGAGCTCTACTCACTCCCTGCACCACAAGATTATTCTTAAAAATAAACTCTCCCTTTTCTTAATGAACTTGTCTTTAAATAAACTCCATCACACTTTATCACACCCAAGCACCAGGTTTCCATTAGGACAAAGGATACTGCTGATCACACACAGGGGAGTCTGCTCACTGCTCAGCAGGGCAAACATTTATTTCATTGGAAAAATCACTGCAATAATTGAAGATGGGAAAAATAAAAACAAAGCATCACCCCTGCAGAACACCAGCCTGCGGGTACCTCAGACCAGGCAAACCCATTGCTTCATGTTGAAACCCATCATTGGGGAGCTAATTCAGTTTTAATTCCCATGTCCCCTATAGGAAATGAGCCCTTAGCAATTCAGACAATATAAATACCACATACAAGAACTGTATTAAACAAACATTATTAAGGAAGTATATTTAAATGATGACAAGTCTGGAGATACTGGGCTGAAGGCTTCCTCTGTGGGTTAAGTCTGTGCCTCTTGTCATCCTTACTGACATTATAAGGACACACACTGGCATTATAACATTAATTAGTAACATTGACTGTAGTCATTGTCTTTCTTTTCTCCTGCTGTTTCCCCTTGCTGCTCCGTTTTCCAAGCCACCCTTGTTTCTATATGATCTAATCCCAAGTCCTGCCTCCCAGAGCACATGCAGTCCCTTAGCCCTTGCTTTTTTTTGCCTCCCAGCCCACCTCCTGAGCTGGAGCAGCCTGAGGCTCCCCTGACCTGCTGCTGCCATCATCTCAGAAGTTATCTCCAGTGGCTTGGCCAGGACTCTTGCCTAGCCACCCTAGCCTGTGCCCTAGTCTCTCCCTCACTGTCCTTGGTTGTCCAGCTTTTGTCTCTGCTTTTGAATTAGAAGGCTCCCGTATGGAATGTTTTAGCCTGGAAAATAGATGGGGTTTTAAAAGGGGAAGTGATTTATTAGAAGATGCCAGTGATGGACCTTGCTTATTAATTCAGGGCAAGGATTTAATCATTATTATTAATCTTCAAAAATGCAGTTGTGTTTGTGATCATGTATTTTGTAGACCTTATATCTTAATTGTTTGTTTACTGTCTTTGGTAGTACCTGGCAGCCCCAGAGCAGAGCCAAGGACCATGCAGTCCAAAACTTCACAAAAGAAGCCACAGTGTGGTTCAGGAAGGCAAAGCCTGCTGGGATAATCCCAGTGTAAGGGGTTTCCATCACTTAGTTAAACTTGGGGAACTGATGTTGCTTTGTACACTTTGCACTCATTTTCTGATCTGTCCAGGGCACCTCATTGATCTGCTTCTCATTTGTGGCTGCATGAAAGGTAGGGTTAGTGTGACTGGGACAGGTACCCATCCTGGGACACTGGGGAAGGGACACAGGGACTTAGAGATTTGGTCTCATGAAAACACGGTATTGGAAAATTTATAGTCTAAGTGTTAGGCCATTTATGCTAAACATATGTAGAGAGACAAGCTATAAAGGATCCAGGGAAAAAGCCATGTATGTTAACAAGGAGAATTTTACTATCTCTAGCCAATAATAGCTGGTTTCCAGTATCTCTGTCACTTGAGTATATTGCTATATATAGTACTACAATCACTATAGTAATTGATTGTGGTTTTATAAGTGACTTCTTGAAAGGGACATTAATAACATCGTTATCTCATTTAAAGTATTCTGACTAAAAGCTCTTCCATGTTTATGTTTTGCAGCTGTATCCCTTTTGGCTGTCAGTCATTTCATACAGACTGAATTTTACACGCACTTGGTGGGAAAAACTCATGTGGGTTCCTCCAAATGGGAATCAATCATATTTCGTATTAGCAGATGATCAGTAATGGCATTGAGTGCTGTCTGGGAAGAGGAAAGAGGGGAGGGGATGATTAATTATTCCTTAAAAGCAACTGGACAGCTTTAAGCGGTGAGATGGCAATGTTCATGCCTGCTCCTGCCAGAAAGTATCTCCACCTTCTTAGCAGAAGACCGCTATGTAGCAGAATATTCTGAATTCATAGACTGACTTCTACTCCTTGGCCACTGAACTTTTCACCATTTCATAAGAATGGAATTTCATCACTTGCAGGGAACAAGGGGAACTAGCATTGAACATGTGTTTGAGCAGAGCAGGTTAGTTCCCTTATATCCACGGTTTTACATTTCCTCTAAGCAATCATGGCACTGTGCAAATGATATACTTTTGTACCCTTGACAGCAATAAATCAATTTGACTTTGTTAAACCCTGAATTGATCTGAGTGCTTTTCACTTTCAGTGATCATAGCTGTGAAGGGCAAGAATCTGTGTGATGCTTTGTGAGACGGATGGTTAGCTTATGACTTAGCATATTTATGATAATGTTAATATTTCAAACTATGGAAAGATGTTAAACTTGCAACACTTTTCCTTGTTATCTCAAAGAGGTTGTTTCTTCCAAGTTCTTATATAAAGCACTGAAATTCAAGTCTTTCAATTCAAATTTAGTTTGCAAGATCTTGCAACTTTCTAGACCATCCTGCCCTTGTAAAGTCGGCCCATCTGCTTGGACTTAATGGCTTCTTGACAGCCGACTTGTAGAGCTGAGTTTAACTGAAGAGTACAGGTTTCCAGATACTTGGTACTGTATTCTGGATTGCTGGTGTTGCTTCAG